ATATATATGGTAACCTAAGTAATTTATAGGTAACTTATATAAAGTAACTTTCTCAACACTGCGCACTTCCCAACACTACGTACCGAATGATAGTTTTAATTAGTGCACGCTAAGCTGTGCTCTGTTTATTTTGAAGCGCGGATATTTACAACTGCATCTATTATACATGTACTGCATTGTATTTTAGTTCATTCATAAAATGGAGGTTTAGTTCGCGTTTAAATATCTAACGGGCCGTAACACAATCATGTTATCGTGACATTATCGCGTTACGAGATTTTCGCATTTAAATGTCCTCTCTCTCACTGTATTTTTTCCTGTACTTTTATTTCGTTCGTCCACTACATTTAATTCGACTAAAATCTGAAGAAATGGCAACTAGAAGAATTTGGTAAGTCCTAAAAGATTAGGGAACTCTTTTAACTTAGTAAATTTCTAACAAGATAATAAATCATCTACAAAAAAACTACTAATTCTGTTCGCTGTTGATTCAATTAGATATATACAATTACAAAAATCTAAAGTAATATTAAAATTCTGTAAAGTTTTACTGTTAAGTTTTAATGTTACTTTTAAGACCGAATTAAGAATTAGGAAGATTATTTGTTATTTCTAAGGAAAATGTACTAAATAAACCGTAATAATTACGAGATAGTAAATCTTTTATAATGAAAATTAATTTTCGCCACTTTGCTCCGTGTGTGTGTTAATATCCTAAATAATTACATCTCAAATAAAGAAGAATTCAGGTTACTAGCAAAGACCTGCATATATGTTAACAACTCAACAATTAATTCCAGATTCATCCAGTTGTGATAATTTTCTGATATTGATAACGCTAATTATTTGCCTAGCGATAAATGGTAAATTATGCAGGCAAGAAGAAGAAGAATGCAGGCACCGCCAACAAATATCAGATAGTAACAGTTTGTAATAACAGTAATTGAGTTAAGATAAAAAAATATATTTATCAACGAACATCGGTATGTCAACGATATCCGTATACGATCGAGGTTTCGGACACACCAGAGACTTCAGTTTCTTTCTCCACCACGCGTGAGAACGGTTTTCAAAAAAGAAAAGGAGAAAGAAAAAAGGATAAAGAAATTGGGTCAAGTCCGCGATGCCCCCGTACGTCGGAAATCGAAAGTCGATTTCCTGAATGGTACGAGATGAACGGTACTCTCTTTCTGCCACATCGCGTCTGTTTTATCTCGCGAATATCCTTCGAATCCTTCAAAATCGATCAGAATGGAGAAAGCGGACATTCTCAGATAGAGGTCAACTTATTTAAATGAGAAATGTCTGGCATATCACGTGGTCCACACAGTTTTCCTTTGATTTAATAGACGTGCCTAATTCCTCTTTTAACAATTCTTTGTTCTCATTTAGATAAATATTATATAAGTGCATTCTATAAATATGCGTATATAGTATATGTAAATTGAAAGATAAATTATATGGAAAGTGTATAAAAATTAAATGATTGTATTATTATATGATGCATATATTACGAGATGTAAAAGGAAGATTTTACAATTTTTTAATATGCAGCATATTATGAAACTTTACAATATACCTCTACCGGACGCAGGTGTAAAGCTAATTAAAATAATCACATGCACAAAAATCCCGCTAAAAATCACAAATCGAGAAATGTTGTATTTGACATTTAATTTAACTCTGCTGATCTGTTTGGATCTATTTGATAAATTACATTTAAAAATGTATTTTATTTTCTTATTAATATTTTATTTAACAACTGTTTTCTCTTGATTCGTCTGTTAATGTAAGACTTTCTTTGTAAAATCTTTTATTTCGTATTTTTTTAGAGTTTCTTATTACGTTGACTCAAAAGATATAGTTGTATAGTGAATCATATAGAATATATAGTAGATTATAGCTGATTAAAACCAACAGGATTACTATCTTCAGTATGTCTTTTGAGGCCAAAAAAAATTTTGTACTTTACATATACAATAATTCTATTATGTTGTACATTGCAATAAATATTAAAGATAAAGATCAAATTCTTATGTAATAATTTACGTTAAATCTATTGTTAAATTAAACAGAATGAAATTGGATACAATTTCTTTAAAAAACCTATAGAAAATAAATCTTTTATCAGCAAAAAAAAAATTTTTATCAATCTTAGGTGATTTTAATACTTTCATAATTTGTCATTTAATAATATCAAATGTTTTAATTATTATACATATATTAAATTTGTATCGCACTAGCAACATTGTTAAGTAGCCAAACTAACGAAATAAATCGCTTGGACGTAAAATCGCGGTAACTTTTATTCTCGCATTTACGCGATATTCTATTCTATCCGGTCTACAAGTCGTATTAAATAGACCACGACTAACGATCGTGACTAAAATATTTGCTGCACAGATCGTTCTCAGGGATTTATGTTTAACGTAGTCGAGCGCATCCGTCTCAATTACTTGAAAGTTTTTTTTTTTTAAGACATTACATGTCATTATTAAAAAAGGAGGACAACTGTAAACGTAAATATTAAATCTCTCAACAATTTAAAAAAAAATGAGTAGCACATTAAAAGATTGCAACAGATTACTAGCATTTACTAGTATTTCTACGTTTACTAGTATTTTCTACGTTTTATAATTGACCAAGCTTTGTTGTGAAAAATACGAAATAAAGGCGAAATAAATATATGCTGAATTAAATATATACGATATGTATGTGAATCAGTGGTACTCTAAAAAATTTTATTAAATAAAATAATAACAATTACTTTAATATTAATATCTTTTGAATTAGATTTTGATTTATTTATTTATTTTATTTTATTTATTTTTTTTT